TATTATTTTTTCTCTGTGATTTTGACATGTGAATTTCTTTTGTAGTTTCTGACTCTTGTGTGAGACTCAAGCCTTCAAGTTTAGGTCTGCTTCTTGTTGTAAACTTTATGTGCCTTTGTGGTTTATTTTTGGGTAAGAAAAGCTGGTTCATCTAAGATTCCAGTTCTCTCTTTTGATTTTATATTGGAGTGGCCAGATTGCTTTTGTCTTCAGGAGTTCCCAGGTCTGGACCCCTCCAGGAAAGATGTTGTCCTCAGGAATTTGGGGGTTGGACTAGCCTTGGAGCAGGGCCCAGGAAAGATGCTGGTCTCAGGAAGCTGGTGGGTGCCACCCAGAGATGCAAAGGGATATGGGGATGGGCAAAGTCCCAAGAGCTCCTGGGGACTGCACTGAGGAACTGGGTTTGTCTGATTCAAAGGATCAGGAGAAGCGGAGTGGTCAGCCCTGGTGTCCAGGAAAAAGGCTAGTGGGTTGTGCAGCCCAGGGAAGCACAGGGAGGTGAGGACAGGACCAGGTCCAGCGGGCTCCTGGGGACTGTGAGAAGGAACTGGGTTGGTCTGGATGCAAAGGACCTGGAAGCAGTGGTGGTTCTCCTGGTGTCTGGTTTGCCAAGACAAGGAATGGGCCAGTACCCAAGCTAGGAAGATAGATGGACAGGGGAGATGGGAGGGTGAATGAGGCTGGGGGAGTCAAAGCGCACTGGACTTATCCAGGAGAGAGGCGGGAGGGTTGTGCAGACCCAGGGACGTAGAGGGAGGTCATATTGCTGAACTTTAAAAGAACCAAAGTCAAAATAATTAACATTTATGTATTTAATAATTTTCTTAATTTGGAAAACAAAATACAACATGCATAAAATTTGCATTAAAAATGAAGTTTTCTGCATAAAAAAATTTGAATACTCTTACTATTGTTTTGTGGAGTCAAGAATTCTCTGGCTAACAGAGATTTCCATTTGCTAGAATAATGTGCTAATTCACCTTTCTTAAAATTTTATTACCTATTAGTTTTTCATTATATAAAATTCTGAATCATTCAGGTTTGGTGGTACATGACTTTAATGCCAGCACTCTGGATGCAGAGGCAGGAGGATCTCTGTGAGACTGAGTTCATCCTGCCTACACAGGGAGTTCTAGGCCAGGTAGGGCTACAGAGGGACCCTGTCTAAAAAGCCAAAAATCTGTTAGGTTCATTATAATTTACTTTACTTTTTGTTGACATTTATTAATTTTGCCTATTAAGAGGCAGTAGTGTGCTAGCTCTGAACGTAGAGTTTGCAATGCATATATTTTTATTGAAGTTTTGTGCATTACATATAAAACATCTAGGTCAAATTTAGTCCCCATGTCCTATCTGTTTCCTCCCATAGGCCCCTCCACCGAATTTCATGCATTCTGTCATATTTGTCAAGACCAACGAAGTAAAGTTTGTGTCTGCAGATTTGCTGTCAGCTTTCTCCTGACATGTTGCCACTTGACAGGCTGCCCTTTTCCAGGGCTTCCCTCACATTTATGCACACACAGGCAACACAAAATGGATTCAGTGGACTTAAAAAGAGTGCAGGAAGTTGGCAGGGGAAAGTACCGGAGGGGACATGGGGAGAACTGGAGGACGGAATAAGGAATACTTTGATTAAAATATATTACATGCATTTATGAAAATCTCAAATAAAAATAAATACAATATGTGTTTTTGCATCCTCATGCCCTTGTGTGTTTTAAAAGAAACAATTTGTGATTCAAATGCTTGGTTGTATCTGCTTTTTTAATCTGTGTTTTAAAATTGAACATCCTTAATATATTAATTAGAGCATTAAAAATAAATGGCGGGAGAGATGGCTCAGCAGTTAAGAACACTGACTGTTCTTGAAGAAGACCCGGGTTTGAATCCCAGCACCCACATGGCAGCTAACAACTGTCAGTAACTCCAGGTCCAGGGATCCAACTGCCTCTTCTGTCCTCTGCAGGCATTGCTCAACACAGGTGCACTTACCTACATGCAGGCGTAACACTCATACACATAAAATAAAAATAAAAGACTAAGAAATAAACAATGAATGAACTAAGAATGCAATTACCCATCTGTCTAAACCACAAAACAGCAAACTTTCTCATTGCCGTCAAGTACATACCAGGTATATGGAAGACACTTAAGTAATTATGGTGAGGGATCTAGGATCTATCAAATTCTACAATTTAAACCAACTTTGTTTCTCTGGTTTCCAGCAACCCTGCTTTAATGCCACTGCACAGTAAATTCTTCAGTATTAAACATTGGAAAAGTAAAGAATTCAAGATCACAAGTTTGGCATTCGTTATTTATGGGCTTCAAAAAAAGTGTGCTACCATCTCTAGGGCTTAAGTTTTTCATGTGAATATTTAAAGGATTCGAATGTAAACATCTATAAACTTTTTAAAGTTTCAAGCATTCTTGTGTAAATATGGCACGCTATTGCTACAGTATTACTACAGAGAAAAGTTGTTCAGAAAATGGATGCTATTACTTGTGACAGAGCCATTGCCTATATAATCGTTAACCTCATCAGTAGTATTATTATTGTTTCTTTCACGATTCACTTAGATGGGATGTAGGACACTGAGCAGAAACAAAACTAACCAGAATATTTGCTTGAGGACATATATCTCCTTACTTTGCTAAAATTCCTTTGTGTCTTTCATGTGTTATCTCAGGGACTGTAACCTATGTACAAATCACCATTTAGCATTTTCTACCAGTATTAACACAATCATATGATTTCCTCTTCTTTAAAAATTTCTTAGTTCAACTACTGAGCATCCCATTAACTGATTTGTGTGAAAAGACTAAATTTAAATCTAAATTTTTATACTGAAAATTATTTGTTATTAAGAACACAGGCTAAATTTATTTGTGTTAGATTTAGTTGTTGCAAGATTAGAGGGGCTCAGAATCATATGGATAAGATTTTTTTAATTTATTGCAAAAACAAATCATTGAAAGTTGTGGTCTCAATCCTGACCTTTCCCAAGGTTTTTCCTTAAAGTTGAGATCTAAACAAAGGCAACATCAATGAAGATTTAGAGGACACACTGCAAATACACACATAGCAGCCATCTCAACAGGAGAAACAGTGGCTGAATTAAATAGTGAATTTACTGAATCAGTATACAAATAAGAATATTAACGATTTTATATATAAAATTTATTTAAATTCAAGTATGTACAATTGTGGTGTTCCAATTAATTAGTACTAAGCCTCAAATACCTTCACTTTTTTGAAAAAAATATCACCTTACTTAACATATCTTTGAAGGCTATTTTCACTTGCTTGTTCCTTAGGGTATAGATGAATGGGTTTAAGAGAGGGGCAACAGAAGTATTTAAAACTGCAACTCTCTTATTAAAGCTTGCTGCATCTTTAACAGAAGGATTTATATACATGAAGATACAGCTTCCATAAGAAAGTGATACCACTATCATGTGAGAGGAACATGTAGAAAATGCTTTCTTTCTCTGTTGTGCAGAGGGGATCCTCAGAATGGTCCTGATAATGTATGTGTAGGACAGAATCACCAGGAACAAGGTGAAGATGAGGGTCACGGCAGCAAGGACGAACTGAATCACTTCTATGGAATGCGTGTCTGAACAGGACAAATGCAGCAGTATAGTGTAGTCACAGCAGTAATGGTTGATGATGTTGGAGCCACAGAAAGGTAACTGAAGAGTCATTACGTGAGGCACAATGACAACTACAAAACCAGAGAACCAGGAGCTTAGGACAAGTTGAAAACAAAGTCTTCTACTCATGATAGATGTGTAATGCAGGGGTCTGCAAATGGCCACGTAGCGGTCATAGGACATGGCAGCTAAAAGGTAAAATTCAGTTGCTCCCAGAAGAATTGCAAAAAAATACTGAGTGAAGCATCCAGCAAAGGAGATAGTCCTTTCTCCAGTTCCAATATTGATTAGCATTTTGGGAACAAAGACAGATGTAAATGATATCTCTAAAAACGCAAAATTTCGGAGGAAGAAATACATAGGCATCTGGAGGCGGTAATCCAGCAGGGTCAGAAGGATGATGGCAGAGTTGCCCATGACACTTAAGATGTAAGTTAGCAGCAGAAACAGGAGAAGCACAGCTTGAAGCTTGACGTCACTTGTCAGCCCAAGAAGAATAAACTCTGACACTGATGTGTGGTTTCCCATCATTAACTTGGGATTGAAATGAGACTGAATAGATTTAAACGTAAAACAGAATCCACACTTTAAAGCCAGCTCTTAAAAATGCCTAGTCATTTGCTGTACTTTGTTTGAAAGTGAGTTATATTAGAATAAAAAAAAAAAGCCTTTCAATGCGCTGAACTTTTTTACTTTATAAGCAATAAAAACCCTGCTTCTTGGGGAATGTTTAAATTATTTCTCCCAAATTGTGTCAATATTTTTCTCACATAGTTTTTATCCTATTTTCTGTTCTGAGTTCCCTCTCTGAAATCAGTAGCTACTGCCATGTTTTCATAGATTTCTAAAGAACCTTGAATATATATCCATCTGTATGTATATATGTGACATAAAGTAGAAGGGGAGCTACTTGGGAAAAGAAAAAAGATTAGGAGAGGCCAAGGTTCTAGAAACCAGTAATGGGGATAAATATGGTCAAGAAAATACAGCACACTTGAATACAACACACTTGAATGGAAATTTTCTGAGACCCACCCACCCATCACTTTGCTAATGAATATATGCTGATACAGTCCTTTGAAAGAACAACTTTCCTTATTTTAAAATTAGCATTTTAAACACTCACTGTATTAGTTTACAAAGTAAATATGATCTAAATCATGAAGTATCCATATAAAGCTGAACTTGGCTGTTATTTAGTTATTTTTATTTATTCCCACTTTCTCATTTTGAATAACTTTGCCAACCTGCTGAAGCTCACAGCCTGACTTGGGGTTGCTCTTGATTTTTTTTAAACAGCTTTATTACATTTCTATTTATGTATTTTTTACATGGGGAGGGGCATGTGTCATGGTGCACATGTCGAGATCAGATGACAACGAGCTTCTTTATTTAGTGAGCCATATCACTAGCCACTTGATCTTAATTCTTTTTTTTTTCCTTCTGGAGACAGCGGCTCCCTATGGCTCCTGCTGGCCTGGAACTTGCTATGTAGACCAAGCTGGCTTCAGTTTCACAGACATTGCCCACCTTTACCCTCTAAAAGCTGTAATTCAAGGCATACACCACCACATTCAACTTGACCTTAATTTTTTTTTTTTTTGAGACAGGGATTCCCTGTAGCTTTAGTTGGCCTGTATCTGTCCATGGAGACCAGGTCAGCCTGGATTTCACAGAGATCCTCATGACCCTGCCTCACAAATGCTGAGATAAATGTTCTGCCCTACTACAATTGTTCATAATAGTGCACAGTGTTCTTGTTATTCACTCTTCCTGAGAGTCTCAGAGATTGCCAAAACCGTTTAATGTACAATTGTTCATAATAGTGCACAGTGTTCTTGTTATTCACTCTTCCTGAGAGTCTCAGAGATTGCCAAAACTGTTTAATGTAGGCATGTGGAAAAGTTAGTGTTCAGTGGAATATTAACTAAATAATCTCACTGAGTCTGCTATCCTGCTGCAGGTATGAATTGCCCATCAACATATTCCACTTCCTTTGAAAGCCAGTTCAAGTTCAGCTCTTTGTATAATATTTTGCTAACAAACCTAATCAAAAGTAATGGTTTTCCCATTTTCATTATACTGCTCCAAAGCACTGGGTCATAAAGTCAAATTATTTCTAGCTATTTCAAAATTTTATAATTATCTTTTTAACTTCAAAATAAATATATTACAAGAACAGGATTTAGCTTTCCTATTGTTTCCTACATGAGCTAGAAAATTACACTGATTTTTTAAAAATTTAATGCAAAATATATTTTGACATCTCTTTAAGTGCATAACACTCTGTGGTGGAAAGTAATAAGATCTCTTCCTCCAATCCTTTATTCATCCAGCTATTTTCTATCATCAAACATGAATATATAATATGATATGATTCTTTCTACACAGCAGTTATAAAGGTAGTTGTTTCCATAAAGTAGTGGTCATCACACTGACCTCATAAAATTATTAAAGTTCTTTGATTTTAACATTTTTTCACCGCACGGACTGGTATGTTCTCTTATTATAATCAGTAGTGATTTTTTGTTTGTATATGACAATAACAACATTGTCATCTGTGACTTAAATATAACAAAATCTGTCTTCTAATTTAAGAATCTAAATTTAAAGTAAAACTGTTAACTCCAACTAAGAAGTAATTAATCAGGGGCCACAGAGATGGATTGGTGGGTAAGGGTGCTTGAGGCCAAGCCTGACAATCTGGGTTTGATCCTGTCACTCAAACGGTGGAAGGAGAGAATTGAGTTCAAGTTATCTGACCTCTCACATAGGCTGTGACATGTGTGCTCCTCCACCTTTCCCCACACAAATGAAATAAAATATAAAAAAGAAAAATAATCTTGAAATCGCATTTACTGCAAAGGATTTATAATTTGAGTTTTCCTTTGTTTAGTTACTTGGTGACAGAACAGAACGTTTTGGGCTGATGCTTTTTTGTAATTAATTTTACTGTATCACACTTTCATGCATGTATATAACACATTCCAACTACTGTCTTCCCCCACCCTCTCTTAGCTCCCTCTCATCCCTATCAAACACCCCCCAACTCCATTATCTCTATCAGTTCCTCTCACAGGTTCATGACTTTGGGATTTATTTTGTGACCTATTTAGTTTAACCAGGGCCATCTGTGTGATCACTGGATTGGAGCTAGGCATTAGAACTTGGTAGAATCATCAGTGAGTATACAACTTAAGATAATCATTTCCCTTCTCCCTGAATCTGTAGGTAGCAAATATTAAATCAGTGAGGGGTAAGGCCACATGAGCCTCTCCTCAATCCAAGCCTAACTGCTGAGGGCGTGTTTCTTGTGGAGACCCAATGCAGGCATCCACAGCTGCTGCTGTGAATTTCTAACTGCAAATGCTGTGTCTTATAAATGATTCTTGAGATTACTGAATAAATAAAAGAATGAAAGAACAAAAATTAGAGTAAAACAATATTTTTGTTGGTCCTTTGAGACAGTCCTGCAGTGTACCTCTGGTTAGTTTGTAACTTGCAGCAAACCTTCTGCCTCTGTTCCCCAACAACCATGAGATTACAGTTGTATGTCACCAAACATTTTGATATCAGTGATATTGTCTATTAGATAATTAATACAGTATGATATTTTATATAAGAAAAAGATGTATCAAGTACTTATCAGCACAATTCCTTTCTAATAATTCGTAGTATGAATATGGTACTGTATAGTTATATATAATATATGTGGTGGTATCCCTGATATATGTAATCAATAAAGTGTGATACAATAAAGTTTGCTTGGTTAAAAATAATTTTAGTTCATGTTAATGAAATAGTTAAAATAAAATTTGATTTACCAAGTTAAGCTCTAATTGTGTAACATTTGACATTTTCTATGTATGCTGATATTTTATGAGTTATTTTGTCTATATGTCAATCAATAACAAATTTATGAAACAGATGTGTGTAGTTATGTCAACGAAGATGAACACTAACTGACCCAGTGAAGAGACTACCAAGCACTAGGTAAGTGCAGCCAGCACAACCCTCTCCTACCTCAAGCGGTGAGTCAGTCCCGTCTTCATTCCAAAGTAGGTCCTTCAGTTGCTGAACTGGAGAATATAAAGGCTGAGGACCTTTGGGAAGTGATCCCTGGCCCATCGGAAAGAAAAAGTAATCTAAGCAAGTTATTTATGTGAAGATGAAGGTCAAACTTACATGAATTGGTTTATTCCATTTACTTTAAAAAACCACAATAAAAACTACATTTTCGTTGTTTATCCTGAATTTGAAATTAACTACCACATTCATCACAACATAAATGAGAATTGCAAAAATGCAAAGTTTTGATAGTTTTTACAGTGGCAGCAGTGTGGGGAATTAGCCAATATTTTGGAGAAACATTTCAAAAGAATTTGAGAAACAGTCAACTCATAATGAGTTGTTGCCGAGATCTGGCAGTTGCTTCTTCAGACACTTATTCTATCAGTATTCCAAATCAGTAAACTTTGCCTCCATTTACATATATATATAAAATCAAAATAGATTGAATGCATCTCTGAAATTCTCAAAGAACTGATAAATATTCTTTTTTTAAAATGTCTCATAAAATGAGAGTAAAGAAGGAATAACAAGCTAACTGAAGAAAAGAGAAAAAACAGCTGAAACTGAAATCAAAACCTGTCACAGAGAATTTACTTTCACTGGAAAATTGTTGAAATCTATTTGCAATCTTTATTTTAGTCATCTCAGTAATATAAGTTTATTGATTTTGTAGCTATATTATGAGATTGTAGTCATATATGTTAATCATGTATAATTAGACGTAGAATGAGGTGTGTATGGAAACTCTCCACTGTGTTAGCAGCCCTTCTTCAAGTAAATCAGCACAAAGAAAGTTTGCTTTAGTGTGCTTTGTAGTGTTCAGAAAATAGGAATAAGAAAAGGCAAAAGTGAGACTCTGTTTATTCAAATTGTCTGGGACTGTTTCCTGGGCATGGGGCAGGTGATGATGTCCTTTTGGGTACTGAACACTCAGCGGTCATTTATTCTCAGCACTTTGTAAGTTATGAGCCTTTATTTCAGAATGCAAGAGCCAGAGGATGGGGAGGAGCGCTAGGAAATGCTGTCTGCTGGACATGACGTAGATACTGCAATCATGGACACAACAGCTGTGATCTCCTGAACAAACTCTGCACAAATAGGAGTGGGCTAGTTATGAAGAGGACGGTCAGCAGGATTGGAAGGGGGACAAAAGAGGGTCATGGGGAGGTGAATATAATTGCAATACACTGCACATGTATGAAATTGTCTCAAATAAAAGCAATTAAAAGGCCTGAGAATCTCATGGCTTCAGACAGCCAAAAATGCATAGGATAAATTCAAAGTAAAAATAAGAATGCAGTCCAGTGTTGGAGCATATGATCAGGTATGCCTTTTGTAAATCATAGCTGTTCTTGTCTGTTAGACTTTTCTGTCCCTCTTGTTACTGTGTTTATTCATTTTACTCTATATAATTTTGTATCTTAACATTTACTGGACACCCAAATTCACTTTAAACTCAG